GGCAGCCTGGAGACGGACGGCTCCTTCTACTGAAAGCTTCGCCTCCCGTCAAATTGGAGGAAAAAAAATAATAAAATAAAATAGCTGTTTATTCTGGAGTAACTTCTCCAGCTTTATCCACCCGGGACTCAAGAAGGAAGAGAGAGAAGCTGCTTAGGTGCCCATTCACTAGTGCACCCGCCAGGTCCCCCTTCCTCATGGTGGGTCACCCCTTGAATCTCCAGCAGCTTCCACTGCCTCCCGTGCCCAACCCTGTGCCGGCCGTGGGGACGGGGCTGGCTTCTGCCTGGCACCCCTGTGTCCCAGCTCCCCCATGTCCCGGCTCCCCTGTGTCCCAGGTCCCCAGGCAGGCAGTGGAGCAAGCCAGCAGGGCGGCCCTATGGAACACGTGGCCAAAGCAGGACAGGGTCTACTGGGTCCAAAGGTGCTGGGGACGATGAATTGTGTCCCTGCCTTCTGGCACAGACAGTATCTGTGGCTATGTCTCACTCAGCTCCATGCGACAGTCTCCAATATATTTGACTTTGTTAATGTTTCTGAAGGGTCAAAACCCCCAGATGTTTGTTCCTATGAGGCAAGCAAGATCCTGGCATCCTTTCCTCAGTCCAGGTGCAGATGTTCCCCGTCTCTGTTTAGACCACCACATTCACTTTTTTCTCCCTTGGCTTCCACTTGATAGCATCTCACCATCACAGTTTTCAAAGGGAAAATTCATTTTCTAAAGTACAGCCCAATGTAATAAGGGTATCTGATTCAAGTTTACTGTCAGATATGATGAAAAAAGGACCAGATTCATTTTCTTTCCCTTATATGGATGATTACCTCAGGCTACTTGCAATCTCATAGCAGGAAGATGAATTGCAGTTAATGAAACCACTTGGAGGGTATTTACTCAAATGAGTAAAAAAATAGTAGAATCTGGCCCATGTATGGAGAACTGCAGAACAATTCAACAGACATGTTTTAATGTGCATCTTGTGTGCAATGCATTTAATGTGCATTGCTCTGGTGTGCATTTTGTTAGTAAATTAATTTAATGTGATAAGGGAAAAGTTCACTGTTGGAGAGCTGAGTTCAGAGATATGTTCTGTACCACCATGTCCATCTTAATGAAAAATACCTCCCTGTACAAGTTGTTAAAAAGAAATATGTGTCTATTGACATGATGGAATTTTGCCTCTCAAAATAGGGAGGGGATGAGCACAGGTGCAGCAAACTTGCTGCTATCCACACCTCCTGCGTGGCCAGTACAGTTCTCCCCTACACGGCAGAGCAGGGCTTGAAATACAGCTTCTAAGTAGATGGCAGAGGATGGCAGAAAAGCAAAAGGAAAGATAAAAACATTGCTGAAAATGCTACAGCTTTCTAGAGACTGGCAGTGGGGAGGGGGATGAAAGAAGAGCACACCCAATTTCATCTCCAGAGAGTCTCAGAGGCAGAATCATTATTATTAGCCACATCTTCTGTCCGTCTCGTGCTCTGCTCTCTCTGCCATCTCATTTCTTCACCTGCACAGGCTGCCTGTGGCCGTCCTTTTCATATTTGCTTTCCCCCCCGCCCCGATCCTTTTACCGAGAGGAACCTTCCTTTTGAGGCACTGGCAATACAGGCTATTTCTTGGGAGTGTAGCAAGCAGGAAAGACTGGCTGGGCAACTAGGAACCAAAACTTTTATTCCTATTTCTCAGTCTGATACAGGCGTTCAGAAGCTTTCTCTGATCAGGTTTGGGTGTTCATCTTGAAATTTCTTCGACAATAAGCGGGGAAGGGCAAGAGGGAGAGTAACTTAGCCATTCCTCTGTAGGGAGTACCAGCAAGGCTTGAACATAGCCACCCATCACCGGCTGCTGCTGCCACCTAGGAGGAAAAACTGCAGATCTGCCACACCAACGTCTGGTATGATCTCTAGATGGAGGGAGATGTGTCCCACATGGAAGAGGGATGCAGATGCTAGGGGAAACTCAGGCAGCAGACCCTAAAGCCTGGTCTGTGTGATAGTTTAGGCACTACCAAACCTATATATTTTTTCCACTTTCTTTTTTAAAGTGAGGATCTTGACTTCTCTGTATGTCAGCATTCCCCAAAGGATATTATGCATTATTATTTCATGACCATGAAAATTTGTATACGTACCATTTGTGTTTTAAGGATAGTTCTGAAATCAGATCTTAATTGCTCCTGACTTTGAGCTAGGAACAAAGTATGGAGACTTCAGATCTGGTTAGGTGTCATGACTGAGCTGCTCTAATTGCTTCTGAAAGAAACAAGCACGTTCCCTCCTCCTCTGCCCCCGTCATCTCCCTGTTTTCCTCTTGGTTCTCGCCTGCCTAGTCCAGCCTCTTTCCCCAGCGAAAGACATGTCTTGCTGCCCTGTGAGTTTACTCAACTCACTAACAGAGCAGAAAACTGTAAAGCTGTTCTTCGCTGACATTTTCAGACAGGTTAGAAATAATAAGGCCAAGAGCCGGGTCCTGCACTTGGGTCACAACAACCCCATGCAGCACTACAGGCTTGGGGAGGAGTGGCTGGAAAGCTGCCCAGCAGAAAAGGACCTGGGGGAGTTGATTGACAGCCGGCTGAATACGAGCCAGCAGTGTGCCCAGGTGGCCAAGAGGGCCAACAGCATCCTGGCTTGCATCAGGAATAGTGTGGCCAGCAGGGCTAGGGGAGTGATCGTCCCCCTGTACTCAGCACTGGGGAGGCCCCACCTCAGAAATTGTGTTCAGATTTGGGCCCCTCACTGCAAGAAGGACATTGAGGTGCTGGAGAGTGTCCAGAGAAGGGCAACAAAGCTGGTGAGGGGTGTAGAGCACAGGTCTTATGAGGAGCAGCTGAGGGAACTGGGGCTGTTTAGCCTGGAGAACAGGAGGCTGAGGGGACACCTTATTGCTCTCTACAACTACCTGAAAGGAGGCTGTAGCCAGGTGGGGTTGATCTCTTCTCCCAAGTAACAAGTGATAGGACAAAAGGAAATGGTCTCAAGTTGTGCCAGGGTAGGTTTAGATTGGAAATTAGGAAAAATTTCTTCACCGAAAGGGTTGTAAAGCATTGGCACAGGCCGCCCAGGGAAGTGGTTGAATCACCACCCCTGGAGGTATTTCAAAGATGCATAGATGTGGTGCTGAGGGACATGGTTTAGTGGTGGACTTGGCAGTGTTAGGTAAAGGGTTGGACTCGGTGATCTTAAAGGTTTCTTCCAACCCAAATGATTCTATGATTCTGTGAAAGTCCTGAGGATGCTGCCGGGCACACACCGGCAGAGCTGTTGCAGGGAGGTGTGTTGCAGGGCCAGGGGCTCCGGGACACTGGTGGCAGAACTGTCCCACTGTTAGAGCTGTATCACACATCTGCACCTTGCAGATGTGATGCAATATTGCAGTTGGATCAGGGTAGTCAGCCCAGCAGGCAGCACCTGTAGGTTCCTGAGAGTGCTTTGTGTTTCCTCCTAAGACAGCAGGAAAAATTTGCTGGATTTTGGGGCATGTACGGAGCCCACATCCTTCTCTTTGGTTGGGGAACAGCTGCTACACATAGCAAGTGCAATTCTACCTTTAACATACAGGTGTCTGCTGCTTTGAAATTATGGAATAAGAAGAAACAGACTAAGAAAAAAAATGTTAGTTTTTAATATAGTTTTAATAAAGTTTTTAATTGTTTTAATAAAAAAGTACAGGGTGAAAGGAATCTGATGAAGCAAATGCAAGTAGCATGGCACTCACAGTAGACTGTTACCAGCTTCATTTTATGGTAAATCCCACAGCAGGCATTTGCGGGGAATAAAGCCCTGTCATCCCAAAAGATTTTGATACAGCATTCAGACAGGGGAAAGGGTTTATATCTAGTTATTCAGTCTCTGAGCTTTCAAATACCCCACTGGCTTTAGTAGGAGTGAAAAATCGGACAATTCTGGTAAATATATGTGTGTGTGTACGCATACCCTGTGCGTATGCGCACACATACCCATGTGTGTACACACACCTGTATACATACACACATATACACAGACATCTCCAGAACAGGTCAAGAATTGACCCAGGAAACCGGGATTCAGTAAAAGACAAAAGCCTGGGTGCTCTAGGATCAGGGGCTTAGCCTTTAATAACAATGTGCTACAAGCTGCAAAATTCAAAGCTAGTTTTAGATTTCCCAAAACTTCAAGGTTCTTCAGACTAACAGATTTAATTCTAGTCCATCCTCTGTAAAATATGTATCTAAGTGTCTCTCTGTCCCATAGCAATTTTCCCTTGAAAAAAACCTCTGCATCAGAGAAACTTTGCTTCCTGTATATATTAAAATGTGACTGTTTCACATTGTATTCCTGTATTCCTAAAGGAAGCTATATTCCTACTCTCATTTTAACTGAGAATTAAGCTTGACGGAAATTAATTAGTAGAAGTTGAATTAAGGCAAGCAACATCAAGAGCAGTAAAAATAATCCTGGACCAACTGTATTAGCTCCTACCCAATTAAATTGCTGAAACGTTTGAATTACTGCTTAGAGCATGATGACAACATCAACCTGGTCCCCTCTCCATCGCTGTGTTGGGCACATCACAAAATTGCACATCACAAGTGACAGTGCAGAGCTGGAATAACACCAGGCTTCAGCAGCCAGGAGCGAGATGCCTTGGCACAACCAGCTGGAGGAGCCTGGCATGGTGCCCACCTCTGCTGCCCACCTACCTGTGGCCTCAGCATCTCCTCAGGCCAGGACCATGAGGAGTCCTCAGCCTGAGGAGCTTCAGAGCCCACACGTTTCTCTTAGCCTTCAGACACAAACTGTGTTGCACAGGCTCAAGTTGTATTAGGCTGTTAGTCCCTATTTTCCTCATTACTTAATTCTTTATGAGAGTTAAAAAGAAAAAATAAATCAGTCTTTAAGAACTGCCTTGGCACTCAAGTTAATGAAATGTAAAACTGGATCATTAGGAATTATTGTTCTCTTTGATTGATTTCATCACCCTCTGTCATTAGCACTAGGTTTTCTATGGAAATAGATTATCTTTCACGGGGCACAAATGAATCTCCCGTTCTCCTGCTAGAGGGTCAGGAAACTTTCAAGAGCTGCTCAAACCTTGAAAATATATTTTAACATATAAATATTTCTTTCTAATTTCCTGTGGCGTAGTTGAGTTACTGAAAAACATCACAAGGTTTCACGTACGTTTGAACGTGTCCTTTAGGCAGTGAAATTCCCCTGCAGAGTACTGAGCCTACCAGAGGAATCCAAATGTATTTTTTCATTTATGTTATTAATCAAAAAGAATATGTTGCAAATGACTCATGGAAGTTTTACTGCATCAGCGTGCAGCAAGTTTATCGGGTCACATTGCAAACCAGAAGCAGAAAAATGGCACAATATAAAATACAGAGTATAGCTTCGTGGACAAGGGAAAAGCCTAGAATTATTCACTGATTTAAACAAGGGAAAGTGTTCAGACAGGAAAAGCTTTCCCATGTATATATAGAATAAAGAATTTGTAATCTATTTTGTCCCGTTTTCTTTTTACTTTCAGCAGATATTTCTTAGACGTAGTTGCCCATGAAAGCCAAAGATATTTATTTTCTTCTTCCCTTTTACCACTTTCTAGAGTCCACACCACAAATTTTAATTGTCCGGCTCTTCTCATATACCCCCTTCCAATTAATTTCTTTATTAACCACATGCCAACTTTTCCCTCTAATTTGGAAACAGTATCATCTGGAGAAGCCAGTGAGATACCTTGGCAATGACTGTGGCAGATTGCAGTTTACTTGTAGTTCTTCAGATTAGATGGAACAATGATGATGTAAAAATATTCTGGAACTTTTGTCCAAAATATTCTGGAACTTTAGTCTACATATTAAAAATGATGCCAAACACAGCATCACCTATTCCTTTTGTGCTACATTTGTGCTACCAGTCACCATCAGGAAAAATAGCTTAATTAGCTGTAAGACGAGGTTTAATCAGTTTGTAAGTGGAACTGTAAGTGGAATTGTCTTTGCCTGGGATCAGAGTCAGTGCCTCGGGAACAATTTTTCTAGCCTAAGAGGATGCTCTCCAATGGAATCTGCTACTGTGTGCCGTGTCGTATGTCCATCCACAGGGTGTGAAAGGGAGAAACATCTGTCCATAGCATGTGAAAGGGAGAACAAGCAAGAGGAAATGCTGCAATCCTTTTCCAGTCCTTCTACATGCAGTTTCTATTCTTTGCACCAAGTTCAGGCCAAGTGATCTCATTATACCAATACTGAATCTGGCTCTTTGCAGCCTCCCTTTATGAGAGCCTGAAGCAATTCCAGAAATATTTTGAAGTTCCACTAAGGTTATGTAGAAAGAGAAAAAAAAACCACAAAATCCACCATCTAATAAGCTAATTCCCTGTGGACTCTTTCGTTGTGCTGTTATTTACATGAGTGATCTGAAGTCATTTAAACAGGCAGATTGTTTTACACAATATACATACGGCATTCACAGGGCTGTGATCATTTAGATATGTGGTAGCTGAAAAGAGTCAAGTGTAATCTTTTCTAGTTCAGTGACTAGATTATACATTGTAGTGTATTGATTAAGAAGACATTTCTACAGCTGATACTGTCAGAAAAGTTACCATGTTGTCATGTAGGTTAAAATCAGTCCAGCTCTATGGCTGCAGACTGTCTGAAATGAGTTTATGTTAGGAATTTGCACCAGGATGATTTTAAATTTGTTTCGCTGGCAAGAGTGATCTAGGATAGCTAAGGCCCACCCACTTGCATCTTGTTATGCCAGAGATTTTAAAATGCAGCCCAGCTGTTTCCAGAGGTCTGTGTGCTCTCTGTTACTAGGAGAGAAATGGAAAGCAAGTAACAGATT